TAAAATCCCAAATAGAAGACAACTCCAAAAGGACTTAAACTCTCCTTGTAGTATGTTCTCGCACCACCTAATTTACCTTGCTATCTTACATAATAGTTTTGAAATATAGTTGTGACCATGTCTGTTTTCCTCCACCAAATGCCACACTTCCTGAGAACGGGCTACAATTTCACCCATTTCTCGCAATTTATCTAGATTCTGGGCCTCAGTTTCTTCCTCTGTAAAGTGCAGCTAAGAATAGCACCTCCTTCACTGGCTTGGTGCGAAAATTACAAGACCCCGTCCCGGTCCCCCCCCCCCCCCGACCCCCCCCCCCAGCACCTGGCAGCTAAATGGAGTCAACTCGCGGGACGGGTGAGCTGCGTGGGTCGCAGCCTTCCCACATTACCAGAGAGAAGGTGAATCAAGCAATCCAGAGGCAACGAAATTGCTCTCCTCTCACCACGAAACGCTCTAACTCACGTACAAGGAGCTGGGCCAAAGCGCACACGCCAGCTGGACTGCCTGTCCAGGGCTCGAAGCCGCAGCACTCCGGGCAGGACCTCCCGGGACCCCCCCACCCGTCCGCCCCAGGCTGCGCGCCTAGGCCCCGCGGCGGCCCGAGAGGTACCCACTTGTTGATCCGGCAGGCTTGCTCATGCTGGCTGTTCCGGGGCGGAGAGGTTGGTGGGCGCTGCCTGAGTCCCGGCCAGCAGCGCCCGCCTCGCCGCCGGGCGCCGCGGCTCTCCAGCCGCCCTCCAGCCTGCAAGGCTCTTGGGCCGGACAGGTGGGTGTCGGTCGCGCGCTGCGCTGCTCCCCGGGCACTCAGAATTCGTTCCACAGTGGAAATTTAAGCATCTTTAAGTTTCTTCCCGGCTCTTGCAAAACTGCAGCTGCTGGGAATGCTGCTTGATACGGACACACACATGGACAGACAGATGCAGAGATGGAGAGGCAGACTAAGGAATAAGAGAGGAGTACAGGAGGAGAGTGTTGAAGGACAGAGATAGAGACACGAAAATTGTCTTCCTACGGAGCAAAAAGGGCAAAATCCCTCTCTTTCCCCATTCCTGCCATTCAGTCTTCAATCTCCCTCTCTACATAAGCATAGAGTGTGGGCAGATCTCTACAGACCGCTGATCTTCTAAGGAAAGAAGGAAAACACAATCGTAGTCGCAGAGGCAGATAGGATTCCCGCTGCCGGAACCGAGCGCGGGGTGGAAAAACTAGATTGCTGGGAAATCTTCCGAAGGAAGAGGCGGCCAGGTCCGGGTTTCCGGGGAGAGCCGCGCACGCAGCGGCAAAGGGTCCCCGAAGTTCATTACCCCGTGACTTTGTGCTTGTCGCTGCGGGCTAGGTCCCCTGTAATATCTCCAGAAGCGCTCTGACAGGCAGCCGCGGGGAGGGGAATAGGGCGTCCCTGGCCCACTTAGCTTTTCCCCCAACTCCTGGCGGGGTCTGACGTCAGCCATGTGCGGGGAGGGGATGGGAAGAGGGAGGGGGTTAAATGCTAATGATATTAATGAACCTCCAAGCGGCTCCCAAAGAAAATGCAGGCGCTCTCGGAGCTGACGAGTTAAGAGTGTGAATATGGGAGTGTGGCTCTGTGCGTGCGTGATGGGGAGGACGATGCTGCTCTTGTGATAAAAATGAATTATTATTTCATGGCAGGGGGCAGGGGAGGGGTGTTGGGGTTTTTCAAAACGCTTTCCCCCCCTCCCCCCGCCTCCTGAGTGCCAGACAGATAGACTCGTGTAAGAAATTGGTAGCTGCGTGTTTGTGTGTGATTGTACACGCCGGACATGGCCATATGAGTTGGTTCATACTTGGTCCCGTGCCCCTTCTGTTGGGTAAAACTTGGAGCTGGCCCGAGGTGAGTAATTTATTCATTTTGCAACTATCTACGGAGAGCCAGAGCTGAGGACGCTGTGTGCGGACTTGGGGCCTGGGATAGGGTCTTCCGGAGGATCCGCGTTCCTGCGGCCTTTGCGTGGTCATTTTGGGCACCAGCCACGGGGAGGGCGCTGCCAGCTTCCCCAAGCAAAGCCTGCCCATCCGGAGCTGGGCGAAGCTCCTGTAGCCTCCATTGTATGCATTTGAGCTAGTGGAGGACAGAGCTTTCCCTCCGGCAGCTCGTCCCCAGCGCGCATCGCTGCTCCCGATCTCCGGGCCGAGGTATCCCGGAGAGCTGCCCCCATCCCCTGCCCCATCCCGCTCACCTCCGCGCGACTCTTGAGCTCTCTCGCGCCCTGGTCCCTGCGCGGCGCTGGAAGAGCGCACGCCGAGGGAGCGGCGATCCCCGATCTCTAAGAGATTAATTCTATTTAAGCTCTCTCAGCAGCTTGAACTTGTCGAACAAGAGCTTGCCAGCCTCTCCTCAGGGCGTGGGCCCGGCCAGGGGTCAGGGGTCACACCTCCCGTCCTACTCAGCGTTTGAGAGAAGAGGAGCGGTGGCTAGCGCTCCGCAGTTCTGCCCGCCCACCCCCGGCCCCACTCTTTCCTCGAACTCGGTGTCAGCGGGCTTTCGAGCCGAGTCTGAGTGTGTGCAAGTGAGTCTTTGCGTCCCAGGAGCCCTCGAGGGCGCAGCAGGTCCTCGGCCGGGCATCCCAGGAGGAGCAGGCTGTGCACTCCCGGGGCCGCCGCAGCACGTGACCGCAACTTTCCCCCGCAGCCTCCGCGCCGCCTGAGCCCGGGTACGCGCGCGCACACACGAGCCCGCGTCCTCCCCAGTGCTGCGCAGCGACCGCAGCGCGGGGGCCGGGACACCGGCAAAGAGCCGGAGGGACAACCGTCTCACAAATTACCTCCCCCTCGGTTTTTCGAATTGGGACTAGATTAGGGAATTGTGGGACAAAATCTTAAGCCTGAGGGGTTTTTTTTTTTTAGGTGACAGGACGAGAAATCAATTTTTTGACAGCCAAGTTGGGCAGAGGTGTGAGCAAAGAGCCCGGCCAGCGGCATAGCACAGAGAGGACGGGGATTTCGAGGCGAGGTTTGAGAAACCAGGCTCCGCTTTAGATCCTTGCGTTTTGGCTCCCGCCAGAAATCCACTTGCAGCCGCGGCCGCCAACACCACCATCATGATGCGATACGGAAGGGGGCGCTTGGTTAAGGACAAAGAACTTCAGGAGTCGAAACAATTTATCTCGGTCGGAGATGAGGGCAAGGGTGAGGGGACTAGACTCGGGCCTTTTCCAGGGGAAAAGTTTAGGGGTCTCTGGCGAGGAGAACTAGGAGCCTCTTTACGGGTACTGGGGTTTAGAGGTAGGACTAGGGCTCTCTTGAGCTCCAAACTACCTCTTCCCTTACTCCCCGCCACTCCTGACACGCTGGCTCGTTTGCAGGCACCAACACTTTTGGAAAATACTCCTGAGCTTTATCAAATTGCCTCCAAATCAAAATGGGAATATTCCCTCTTTCTCCTGTCACTAGTCCCTAATCAAGCAGGGTGTCAAGAAGTCCACTGAACACACACACACACACACACACACACACACACACCCATCATCATCATCATCATCCAGCCCTGGCAAAAAGCACAACGCCTCGTGCACACACCCGCAGCATATGCATCCCGTGTTCTGCGCGCCCTGCTGTAATTATCCGCGCGCTTTGCATAAATCACAATGCAGTTCTGAAATAATCGTGATGACTTTCTGGCATGATTGGTTTGGTAGTAACGGCGGCAACAAGCTCCAGGGTAGGCGGGAGGGGCTGAGGCCCGGCGCCTGCCTGCATCGGCTCACATGAAGGGGCTGCTGCCCACAGGGACCTCGGATATAAGGTGTAGAAACTTGGGGCTCTCATGGTCGCAGCTCAGAGAAAAAAGCCTCTGCAGGGCCAAGACTTTTCATCTTCCTGCCCATGAGCCCCAGCATGCTGCCTGATTCATATAGTAGGAAGGAGGAAAGGAGGAAAGTCACCTGCAGATTTCCTGAGAGGCCACCGGAGGCACAGCAAAGCTAACCACTGCAAGCAGGAGATGGGGATTCGAGCACTTTCCCAACTAGCTGTGCAATCTTGTTAAGTGACTAGACCTCTTGGGGCTCCAGATTGTTATTTGTGAAAGGACTGTGGTCCTGTTCAACCTAAACTTTCAAAGATTTTTCTCCTCTCAGTTGGTTAGAGCGTGGCCTTGTAACACTAAGGTCAAGCAAGGATTCCGTTCCCATGCCAGCCAGCTGCTGGAAAAAATAAATAAATAAATAATACATACATAGATACATACATACATACATACATACATACATACATACATAAATAAATAAATAAATAAACAAGGCTTTTTCTCCTGAGTCCACTAAGGTAAATAATTGACAAGGGGCAAATGCCACCTGTCTCAGAAATACCTTTAACAAAGAATAGACCTTAAGTTACAAGGATAAGTTAATAGCTTTGGAGGAGGGGAGAGCCACACCCCAGAGGTTCTGAAACCTTTCTGACCATGTCCAAACATAGCCCCTAACTTCCTCTCTACTCTCTTGTGAGTATGGAGCTCTAACTAAAACCAAAGCCTAAAACACAGGGAAGGTATCTTTTATCAAAGGGTGTTTATATTTGGTCCAGGAGATAAGAAATAAGACGATGAGAAGGACCATGGGAACAAGGGGTCTTTCTGTCCGTCCATCAATCCACCAATTCATTGAATACTGAGCACCCACTATGTGCCAGACCCTGGGGATAGAGGAAATTAATGACATCTTTCTCAAGGAGTCTACAGGGAAGGAGACGCATAAAATGTGATAAGTGTTTAAGATTGGGGTAAAACACAGGAAACTGGAAAAATATACAAGGGACTCTAGACCAGTGTGCAGGGAGATGGGCTCCAATTAAGGCAATTTCACTCACTTACTAGTGAACTAATCAGAATGAAGAACGGTGTTTTGTGCCCAGAAGGCTGACCTTGTGTTAAAGGAATCTGCTGTCTCTGAGAACTGTCTTGTATTACAGCTCATTCTGCTAATGCTCCTTTCTGTCAGTTTACAAGGGGAAGTTGAGTCCCGTTAACTAGGTTGTATGAGAGGCAGGGGTATAGACCAACTCTCTAAGCATCAGACTATCTGGATTTCACTGCTAGCTCTGCCATTCACTAGCTCCTCTAAAAATGGTGCCATTTTCTCCATTAACTGTACCCCCTCCCACCGTTCTTTCAAATTAAAACACCAAAGGAGAAAGGAAAAACTCTTTATCAGCAAGCAGAGCTGACAAAGTTGGTGTAAAACAGAGACCCTCCTCCCTAACCAATGGTCAACCCCTTCTCAGAGGCCATTCTAACTCTAAAGATGCATTTCTTTAAAATGCCCTTTACCTTGCTGACAAGCAGAGTTAAGAAATACTCAGACCCAGGAAATGGTTGGGAAAACCTACCAGTTGAATTTTGATGTTCAGTCTCCCAAAGACACTCTGACACAAGTTTTTGTTTGTTCACATGAAGAAAAAAATTGATTTTCATTTGCTCCCAAGTCATAGTTCAGCCTATGGCTGCTGCTTGCCCGATGAATAATGAGTGTGAGAGAGAAGGTGAGTGATAGAGTGTCTAGCACATAGTAGGTGCTCAGTAAGGGCTTGCTAAATGACAGTATGAAAGAAACAGTGTTGCCAGGCTTGCTCCTGATTCTGCAGTGGTCCTTTCTACAAGTTGTTTGGTTCCTATATAACTCTACTCAGAAAAGAAACACCATTAGCTGGTCCACTAGCTCAGTTGGTTATGCAGCCTTATAACACCTAGGTCATGGGTTTGGATCCCCTTATGGGCCAGCCACCAAAACCAAAACAAGCGAGCAAACAAACAAAAAACTGCAGAACAATCCAAAAAAGAGACCCACGTGCTCTAGAACCCAATGGGTGCTGAGTTGCAGTTTTTTCCTTGACACTTTCCAGAACTGTGTTGGTAAGAGTTGTTTGTTACTCCCCACCGGTGGGAAGATGAACACTGCTAACAGTACCAGCAATAAGACAATACTTTGTGAGAGAGGTCTCTCCCCCCACACTCCCTTAAGAAATAAGCACTTATGTCTCTACATTTATTCACACCCTGGCAGAAGAAAATTCAGTTCTAGGGTCAGTCTGAGGATTAGAGGCTTCTAGAGTCCCACTGCACCTTGATATTCTTTTTATTCCAAGAATAATCAAATAGAAACATCTTTCAAGCACCCTGGCTCACAGTGGTACTTTAAAAATGTGAAATGTAAAAGTGAACCTGCCTGGTAGTACTGATAATGAAAGCTGAAGCTTGGGGGGTAGGGGTAGAAACTCACCTTTGCCCAGCCCCAGCAATGGGGATGGAAGGGACTAGGGACCGGATCTCCAAACCTTGAGAAGCAGAGCAGGTCAGTTTTGGCTTTCTAAAACAAAAGAATGACTAAAGAAACAAGA